CTGAGAGTCTACTTGGCCCAGGGTAGTCTATTAAAATATTTACCTAGTTCTTGTAGACATCTGAGTTTGAGACTCTTGGTATTACCTGAAACCCCTGGATTACTGTGGTAGTAAAGTTGTGCTTTTGGCATTGTTAGAGCTGCTAGCTATCAATGTGTGACTGACTTATATACTAATTGGTTCCTACTCTGAAAATGGCCCTAAATAAGCATGTCTATAGTTTAATCGTAGTCTGAAAACTGCTTTTCAGAAGAATCTCGTATTATTTTCCCCAGCCTAAATGCTATTGCTTAGAGAAACATCAACCACAGTTGCCTCCACTCCTGCAGTAGGCACTATTTGATTACTTCCAGTTGAGCATTTGAGTCAGCTATTTCATCTTGGGTAATTAAGTGGAGAAACAAATTCCTTAAAATAAACCAGAAATACACCAACTTTATCCCCAAAGAAATCTGAAAAAAATATGAGGGGTTCACACTTTTTCCTGTTTCTGAAGGAGCCAAGATTTCCCCCTAACGCTCACTACTTATCTTCTGAAAGTCCCATAGGTCATCCAGTTCCAAGAACAAATGATGAGAAACAAATGGAAATGAGCTATTCTGGGCATTTTCAGTTACAAAACAACTTCTGTAACAAGTTCCAATAGACTATCCAAAATTCTTCACATTGGAAATTCATTTGAAATAACGACTAGACCTACAACTGCAAATTTCTTGGCCCCTGTTTATCAAATCAAATGACGCTGAACTGTTTACTGTCAACTATCACACAGTCTTCTCATGATGCCTGTCCTAATCACCAAGATGGGAAGAGCTATTCTTCTATCCATGGCTGATTGGATGAGGCAAAACACAGAGCCACATTAGTTGCAAAGTCTGCAATAGCAAAACTGAAGATCAGAGATAGTACATAGCATTCTTCTAACAGTAGCAGTGACAGGCATTTATAGTCTTTGATGTGGTTTAAAAGTACAACACCGTAGATAAGAACCACCTTTCTTGGTATTGAATGCTAGGTCATTCTGAGACCAGATTAATACGATACAAAGAAGTAGTATGATGCTCATCAGAGAGAAGAAAGCTTGAGTCCCAGATAGGAGAAACTGTGAAATCTTGGGCAAGTTACTTAACCTTGTTGAGCCTTATTTTCTTTTATAAAAGAGTAATTTCTACCCCACTTGCTTTAGACAATGATACAAGTTAAAGTGCTTTGAAGATACAAGTGATAAATGAACTCTCATAATTACAGATCCAAATAAGACCAAATTAAATTGTCCTAAAATCTGGACTTGGCTAGAATATCAATAACAAAGATCTCAACTTTGGGACCTTCTTTAAGACAACTCTCCCTCCATTCCTATGGGAGATATCAGCTTCTAAAAGTGAGCCAAGTGGAAGTAATGTGAAGCAGTTTTAAGCATGAGAATGACTTTTTAAATATTTTATCTTTATAAATTGACAAACATCTACTATTTAATATCACTGTTACAACATGAATAGCAATCTAAATTCAATGTTCAAGACACAGAAATTGGAAGTCTTCCAGAAAATGCTCTGAAGGCTTCATTAACCAAGATAATTGTTGGGGATAGTCTCATTCACAGTTCCCTGAAAAGAAACTGAACCAAACCTTGACATTTCATGTTAAGTAGGAACAGTGAATAAGGCACATAATACAGGTGACTGTTAGGACACCGTCTTTTTTTTTAACTATAAAAATAAACATAAGTAACTAATGGAATAACAAAATAAAAGTTTATTTTATTAGAATTAGGAATGTTCTTTCCCTCTGGGCAACCTGAACAGTCCAGTTACAATGAAAATCTAAGAACAGTTATTTCCACAGCACAGGGTGCTCTATGCACAAAATTACAGGGTTAGGAGCATTTAATCAATTTACCGATCTGATTGTCTCACCAACCCGCCCCCTCCCATCCCCCAAGTGCTCTATACTGGGATTTGTAGCTAAAAGATTTTGTTACATAAAGTCCTTTTCTCTCTTATACTAAATTTCCTAATCATGGTTGATCCACATTGTACACTGCAGATTCAACCATTTCAAATCAAGTCGGTCAGTCTTGGATCTGTTATATTTGTGTGTATGTATACACCTGTGTATTTAATGTATTTATTTAAACACACATAAAACACACACAATCTGGGTCGCGGCAGATTACACAGAATTTAGAGTCTGATGATATTATATACTACTCAATTTTACCACTGTGGTTTGTATCCTGCGCTTTGGATCGACACTTTATTGTCAATCATTTAAAGTCCATCTACTGCTCAATGAATTGTTCAGATGAAGCATGCGCTTTTCAGAAGACCTCAAGAAGACAGGGAGACCCTGGTGCTGACCATGAATAGAGCCCTCTGACAGAAAGACTTAGGTAGGTGAAACAGGGAAGCTGTCATACAATATGGCTTGCCTATCCCAGCTGGGGTCACTGAAGTTACTAACAATGAAAGCAATTAACTCAGGGAATTCTGTCAAATATGGAGACAGCTGTTAAAAGCTTGGAAGTGGAAAATGCCAATTCATCTTGATCCATACAAATTAGGGAATGCACCCACAATTGCTATACCCTCAGGTAATATGCCAATACTGAAACTAGAAAGCAGCTCTAAAAAGCACTGTTCCTCCATGGGTGGGGGCTGATATTATGAAGTGCACACATTGTTTTTGGATACTTGTTGTAAGGGGAGCATGTAAAAAGGATTTACGACACTCAAACTTAGATACTGGAGTTAACTGGTAGGGTTTTTTAAAAACACCACACATACACAAAACATTTTAATGGAACCACATATATCTAGATAGCAACTCTGGCTGCTTTTCAAAGTTACCAGGGAAAGGAACTTATTCAAGCTTTCTTTAAAAAAAAAAATCCTTAGTTTTGATAAATGTCTTTTAAGATTGATGCAGTCATTGAAAATAAAGTCAAATGGTTGACAGGGAAAGGGGAGGAGAAGAGAATACGGAAGAAGCAGACACTGAGTTCAGATTTGCACCTAAAGTGGCAAGAGAAGGGAGGATAAAAGGTACAGGTAAAGTTGATCCTAAAGCAACAAGTGGTTTAAGGAAGCAGCATAATATATTCAGCAAACATTCACTGATTTTTGATGGGAAAAGAATAGTTGCAAGTACATCTCATGTAACAACCTTTTCTAAAAGGAAAAGTAGGGTTGATTTAGCAAAGCCTAACTTAGGCAAAAGGCCAGAGGAAAGTGAACCTACTTCCCAATGATGTAATAAGATGTACAATGCAAGAGCAGACAAAGCTGCCTCACAAACGGTAAACACTCCCTAGGCGCAAGACATTTAGAGGAAGACAAAGAGGTCCTTCAGCCACAAGTGGTATTTAGTATTAAGACCTCAATCTAGTTGCCTAGTTCACTCTGTACTCCTGTATAAAACTGACAGATTTAGGGATGCTAATCTGTTGAAAAATACCACAGCAAGAATGGCCTAAACAGATACATAGTTAATAAAACCACCACCACCCTTTACTTTTAACATAGCTCTTAGTAGAAATTTCATAAAAATGGACATCACAGCTAAAACACGTTATTAATTCTATTTGCTGACAATAGAAAAGAAGCAAACAGTGGTTTCTATTTAAATGCACTAGATGGGAATATCAAGTTCTAGGGTGTGCCTTCAAACTGAACCCACAGCAACACACATAAGCAATTTCAGTATCTGCCATTTTTAATTCACAATCTGAAACTAAGTGAATGGCTATTTATTTATATTGAAAGGAAAAACATTCTATCTGACACCCTAACGTAAAGAAGGGGTGAGAGAAGAGCCATAACTAAAATCTTAAAAGGCTCAAAGCAGCAATTAAGGGGAAAATCTTTTGAAATGTTTCCTCTGGATGTGACAGGAAGCCTTCAGCTATATGACACGGGCACACAAAGGCTTACGTAGATGCGTGAGGACGTGGAGAGGGATGAGGTTAGGGACTGGGTGATTCTTGAATTGCAGCAGCAAAGCTCCCTGTTGCAGCCCTTATCAGGCCATGGCATTTAGTCAGAACTTGACTTCTCTATACCCAACCAGGAGCTGAGAACTCAGGGCATGAGGCCCATGGCTAGCAACAAACATATCAAACCAGAGAGGGCAAAGTAATCTCAGGAAAGGGAAATCAAAGAGCTCTAGATAGGTCTTCCAGAGGTGCTAAACCAACACACCTTTTAGTCCAACCCTCAACCCTGGAAAGATAAAGCAAACTGAAAGAAAATGCACAGCAAAAGACATAATCTTGAAGATTTTTAAAGAATAAATATTTTTTGTAATTAAACATTATGCAAACACGTGCCACGCCTGCTTTGTCCATGCATATGCGCTATATACAATTTTGAAAAATACTGTGTTGTCCTCTTGTTTTAAAAGTCATATACAAAGTTTTTTTGTTTTTTTTTGTTTGTTTGTTTAACCCCTCTTTCTGCCTACCCTCTTCCCCGCCCCAAGAATTTTCTTTACAAGGAACTAATCATCATTCACTCATGACCTTGCGGTATGAGAAAGAGACAGTCTGCGTGTTTGGGTGTATCTGTATGTGCAGGGGAGGAAGGGGAAGAGGTCCTTTACCAAAGTACAACAAAATGGCTGGTTTGGACATGAAAAGCAGTGTCAAAGAGCTATTTTAAATTTTAACTGTACTACACTCAGGAAAAAGAAAATGAAAAAAAGGAGTCAGCTTTGAGAATGAAGCTACGTTACAAGTTAAAGTTGGAGGGCTTTTAGTGTGTCTGTCACACTTTTGTTGGCGGCCTAGAATACTGTTGTACAATGGTTTATCTACCTTTTTTTATTACAATATAATTTACTTAAACTTTCCATTAACAAAACAGAATTCTGGTACTATAGACCAGCGGTGTCAGAATAGGCTTAGTGCCTCCTTGTTTGTATTTGTTTTGTTTTGTTTGTTTTAATTGCATGAGCACTCTAGACGATAAAGTTTTCAGAGTTCATTTTATGCAGGGCCATTCTCAGTCCTCAATGTACTCCCACAGATCTTTTTCATAGCCTTCATGCACATGCTGTAACAAAACCCTTCGTCGACTCTCACAGTATCTGTAATCAAAGAGAAAAAAAAAAAAACCCATTGTCAGCCTCCAATAATTAAAAAAAGAGGCATTTACTTATTTTTTAAGGTCCCCTACAGTTTATTCAGACTTAGAACCAAGCACCTGTTTTTTGTTGTTGTTGTGTTTTGTTTTGTTTTGTTTTTTGGCTGTTCCGCATGTCTTGTGGGATTTAGTTCCTTGACCAGGGACTGAACCCGGGCCCTCAGCAGTGAGAGCTGGGAGTCCTAACTACTGGACCGCCAGGGAATTCCCCCAAGCACCTGTTTTTGTTTTTAAGAGGCACATTTTCAGGTCTAGATGTAAAGACATGACTATTTCTCATTTTAAAAAGGTATTTTTTGAAGTTCCCAGTTTTGGGAAATTAATTCTAGAGCAATAAAACAAAGGCCTTAGAAATCATCTGACTCAATCTTGTCATTCTACAGGTAAGTAAACAGTTTTAGGAAGAAGTAGTTTCAGGGGCTGTTTATTCACACCTGTAAAACCTTAAAGTACTGGTGGCAGCTATTGCTGGCTAAGGGAAGTGAAAATGTTACTTAGGACTAAATCTCCAAGTCTCCCAAATTCCCAGAGATTTCTACTACTATTAAAAAGATATTAGTATTTGCCAGAAAACAACTGTGGGAGAAAGAGCTCCATGTTGAGAAAGCAAACATTCTGCATCTTTTACTTAAGTGGTAACATATCTTAAAGTATCACCTATCTCTAGGACAAAGTAAATTTCTCCTTAGAAAAACTCTTTAAAAAGTCTGGGTAGCTCACTTGTCAACAGCCATGATCCACAGGATCCCTAGGCTAGGGCTAGCATCCTAATCTCACCCCTCATCCTAATAGCCACTTGCCCTTTTGGGGCTCCTTCTTCCTGTCAGGGCAGCAACTACATAGATAAAACTTCATGGAAGAAGCAGAATCAGCCAGTGGGATAAACGGCTGATTTCCTCCCTATGCCTGACTAGCACTATCTGGATCTGTTTCCCAAAGGACAGAAACAATCTGTGAGAAACATGGCAGCTGCTCAGTTACTGAATATGCTAAACCCAAGTTTCACCATCATCTAACTTCTCCATTAAGGAATACCAGACCACTGGTGACCTACATTTTTGTTCAACAACTACTAGAGAAAACCTTACCTGTACTTATCTTGTACTTTCTGCTTTATATCCTGCAGAGAGTCTTGGGAAATATCTCGTTCAAGGTAGCCCGAGAGCACCTCTGTGGCATTCTCTAGATCTGCTTGGTTATTCTGTAAGAGGAAGAAGAATATATAGTAAATTTTGCCTTCAAAAGAAAGCTAAAAGATAAACCATCTTAGCTGCTTCCTTGATAGACTGTGGCTCAACACCAATTTTGTAATTTTCACAGGTGGTTTAACTGCACCTGTAAAGCCCTTCATCACTTTCACCCCTAACAACTTGTTTTTCTTGTCCAGGACAATTTTTTAAACATTAAAAAACTAAAGATTTATCCATTACCTCTGGAAGACTATTAAGGACAATCTGAAAGAACGTTAAGAAAAAGTTTTGGGAATCTTCCAGTTCTGAAAACTGCTATTGGCTAAAGCTTGAGGAAAAATAAGAAACCCATTATTCTTTATATCTAGCTAGACATCTACTTCTTATAAGAGAACACTGTATGGAAGATTAAAATTTTGTTATCCTTTACTACTATGGCTAGTTCTATATATTTACCCATATAAATTCCCATCTACTATTCACCGTTATTACCCAGCCATCTATCAACATCAATGTTGTATGCATCAATTTTAAATGAGCATCTCTACTGCTAAAAGCCCCCCCTTTAGTCATTACTTCTCCACAAAAGGCAAGCATCATATTAACTTCTAATACCATGTATTAGTTTTGCCTGAATAAAGACTTTTGCAAGAACTTATGACGTGCCAGGTGTTACATAAGCATTAAACATGGATTGTCTCACTTAAACCTCTTAACATTTATAGAAAAATTATTCCCATGCTAAAATAGAGATATAGATGAGGTTAAGTAATTTGCTTCACGTCAACAGAGCTAAAAAGTGATGAAGTCAAGATTCAAATTCAGGGCTAATTCCAGAGCCTGCACACTAAATCACTAGCTGGCTAAACCACATCACTTTGAACATAGTTTACAGCAAGAAATCTAAATTTCTTGTATCTTCCTAATAAACACGAAACTTTTCTTTTATAATTTTTTATTCATTTTATTTATCTTTGGCTGCGTTGGGTCTTCGTTGCTGAGCGCGGGGCTCTCTCCAGTTGCGGTGAGCAGAGGCCACTCCTCGCCACGGTGCACAGGCTCCTCATTGCAGTGGCCTCCCTGGTTGCGAAGCATGGGCTCTAGGCACGCGGTCTCTAGAGCGCAGGCTCAGTAGTTGTGGCACACGGGCCCAGTTACTCCGCAGCATGTGTGATCCTCCCAGACCAGGGATCAAATTCGTGTCCCCTGCACTGGCAGGCAGATTCCTATCCACTGAGCCACAAGGGAAGCCCTTAACACTAAACTTTTAATCCACATTTTTGGGCAGAGAGTAAGCTTTAAAACTCTATATATCTTATCTATGAGAGGCAAGTAGTCCTATGACACACAGGTAACTCAGTAACTATTCCTACCTCAAAGATAATGGACTGGTTATTCTTTTTGAGGTAGAAAGCGAAGACATAAGTGTACATGAGTGTGGCACGACACTGGCAGAGGACATCAACTGCTTTCTTCAGGAACTGCACCTCAATCCAGGACATGTTGTGCTGTTGCATCTCTTCCATTTTCTGCTTCACCTGAGCATACAGTTTGTGCTCAAAGCGTAGACTCTGCATGTGGTTCATATAGCGATTACAGTAGAACAGGTACCTCTGAAGGGCTGCCCTAGATCGCTGTCCCATTAAGAAAAATTAAGGTCACATAATTATAACAAATGTATTATATATACACAAAAGCTGATATATTTACTGATGAAACGGTATAGGAATTTAGGCTAAAATTCGGAACAAAGAGACATCTACTGCTACCTTTGTTATTTAATATTTTTTGAATGTCCTATAGCTGTACTTTCCAATACAGCAGCCACTAGTCACAGGTGGCTATTAAAGTAAAAAACTCAGTTCCTCAGGGTTCAACAGCCATATCGCAGTCAGTGCCTACCACATTAGACAGTGGTAATAAAGAACATTTCCATCATTACAGAATGTTCTACTGGATAGCTCTGTTCTGTGGTATGTAATAAGGTACATCAATATTTTAAAGTAGAAAACAAAAGAGAGGCAACCAGACATCATATAACACCTAATATAATGCAACAGAAACTATACAGTACCACCAGTTAAGTGTTCTGTGTTCTTTCCACACCCTTCCCCAAATCGAGTCTGAATTCAATTATCTAGAATTAACCACCAGTTTCAGGAAATTCAGGGATAGAAGAACCTATTAAATAAAACCAGGGAGTTGCAATCAGCAAATCCAGAATGTGTTAAATTCTACAAGAAAAATAACTTAGTTTCCTCAACAAACAAATGCCAAGGGAAGAAAAACAAACCCCCAAAAAACCAAAAAACTGAAAGGACCTATAGATTAGCAGATCACATCCAACTTGTGCACCTGTATGGATCCTGATTTAAACCAACTATAAAAGAAAGTTTATGAGATAAGTGGGGACCATTTGAACACTGGATAGTTGATGATATTAACAAAGTACTGCTTTAAGTATATAATATAGTATAATTATAAAATAATACAATAAATATATATACAAACATAATTATGGTACTACAGTTTTATGAAGAGTCTTTTAAAGTACATGTGAAGTATTACAAAAATATAAATATATATATATATAAAATATCAGGTCTAAATTTGTTTTATATTATTTATCATACTGCAAAAAGAATTCACATAGGTCTCTCCCATTACACTATAAATCTCTAGAGGAGATACAGTTTTAAAAAAGTAATCTTGGGGGAATTCCCTGGCGGTCCAGTGGTTAGGACTCTGCTCTCACTGCCAAGGGCCCAGTTTCAATCCCTGGTGGAACTAAGATCCCACAAGCCTTGAGGCCCAGCTGGCCAAAAAAAAAAAAAAAAAAAAGTAATCTTGTTAT